GGCCTACTAACCCATTTTTTTTTTCTCCCTAGACCTTCAGACCTGTGATGGGAAGGGCTGCCATGAAGACCTCTGACATGCCCTGGAGACATTTTCCCCATTGTCTTGGGGATTAATTTGGCTCCTCATTACTTATGTAAGTTTCTGCAGCTGGGTTGAATTTCTCCTCAGAAAATGGAATTTTCTTTTCTACTACATTGTCAGGCTGCAAAATTTTCCCAACGTGTATGCTCTTTTTCACTTTAAAAACTAAATGCCTTTAACAGCACCCAAATCACCTCTTGAATGCTTTGCTGCTTAGAAATTTCTTCTGCCAGATACCCCAAATCATCTTTCTCAAGTTCAAAGTTCCACAGTTCTCTAGGGCAGGGGAAAAATGCCTCCAGTCTCTTTACTAAAACGTAATAAGAGTCACCTTTGCTCCAGTTCCCAACAAGTTCCTCATTTCCATCTGAGACATCTTCAGCCTGGATTTCATTGCTCATATCATTATCAGCATTTTGGTCAAAGTCGTTCAACAAATCTCTAGGGAGTTCCAAACTTTCCCACATTTTCCCATCTTCTGAGCCCTCCAAACTGTTCCAACCTCTGCCTGTTACCCAGTTTCAAACTTGCTTCCACATCTTTGGGTATCTTTTTAGCAGCACCCCACTCTACTGGTACCAATTTACTGTGTTAGTCGATTTTAACACTGCTGATAAAGACATACTTGAGACTGGGCAATTTACAAAAGAAAGAGGTTTAATGGACTTACAGTTCCACATGGCTGGGGAGGCCTCACAATCATGGCAGGAGATGAAAGGCACATCTCACGTGGTGGCAGACAACAGAATAGAGCTTGTGTAGGGAAACTTCTCCTTATATAATCATTAGATCTCATGAAATATATTCACTGTGATGAGAACAGCACAGGACAGACTCACCCCCATGATTCAATTACCTCCCAGCCAAACCACATCAGTATGGAAAACCACGGGGTCCTGGCAGATGCCTGCTGCATGGGTGGAGCCCTCACAGAGAACTTCTACTAAGGTAGTGCAGAGTGGAAATGTAGGGTTGGAAGCCCCACCCACAATTTTCACTTGGGACACTGCTTAGTGAAACTGTGGGAAGGGAAGAAGACCAGTGTCTTCCAGGCCTGAAAATGGTTGATCCACTGGAGGCTTTCACCCTTCATTTGGAAAAGCCACAGACACTTGACTTTAACCCATGGGAGTGGGCTAAATCCTGCAAAGCTCCATTGGGTAGAGGTGACCAACGTCTTGGGAGCCCACCCCTCATATCAGCGTGCCCTAGATATGGGACATGGAGTCAAAGGAGATTATGTTAGAGTTTTAATGATGGGCCTGCTGGATTTCACACTTGTGAGGGGCCTGTAGCTCCTTTCTTTTGGGCATTTTCTCCCTTTTGGAATGGGAATGTTTACCCAATGTCTGTACCCCCACTGTATCTTGGAAGTAAATACTTTGTTTTGATTTTACAGGCTCATAGGTAGAAGGGACTTGACCTGAAACTTTTGAGTTAATGCTGGAATGAGTTAAGACTTTTGCAGACTATTGGGGAGGCATTATTATATTTAGCAATGTGAGAAGAACATGAAGTTTGGGGGGCCAGGGATGGATTGATGTAATTTTGATATTTGTCCCCCCAAATCTCGTGTTCAACTGTAATCTCTAATGTTAGAGGTAGGCCTGGTGGGAGGTGATTGGACCACAAAGGTGGATTTCTTATTAATGGTTTAGCACCATCCACTTGGTGATATCCTCACTAGTGAGTGAGTTATTGTGAAATTTAGTTGTTTAAAAACTGTGTGGTGCTTCCCCCACTCCTATTGCTCCTGCTTTTGCCATGTGGTTTGCCTGCTCCTGCTTCTCCTTCTACCATAAGTAAAAGCTCCCTGAGCCCTCCACAGAAGCCAGGCAGATGCCAGCAACATGCTTATACAGTCTTCAAAACTGTGAGCCAATGAAACCTCTCTTTTAAAATACTGTCTTTTTTTTTTTTCCCCACATCAATGCAATGCAAAAGCTATAGTAATAATCTTTTTACTATAGTTATTATAAAGTATTTGGTAATTTAGTATTTATTTGGATAATTGGTATGTCTGCTGCTATTTTTTGTCTTATTAGTCATATTTTTCTGCATTTTTGCATATCAAATCAAAATCAGGTAAGTATATATGGGGCACAAGAGCGATCAGTTTTAGGTTTGATGCAGGCTCCCCTCCACAGGATTTTGTCACCACAGCAACGTAAAAATATGGGAGATTTTACTGTACCTTTACAGTCAAGCCCAATAATCTCCTGTGTCAATGGAGAACTCATTATATATCTCACGGGATGAACCAGCCTTGTGTTTGGTCTCTTCTAGTTTTCAATATATAATGCCATTCCCACGTGATTACCCAAAGTTCTGCCAGTTTCTCTTTCTCCTGGTAAGTTTCCTTTGCTCAGGACAATCCAAAGTTTCATTCCATATGCAGAATTTGCAAATGCTCCAAAAGAAGAAATTACCTGGAAATGGCTAATGGCTCTCCTTGGAAGGACTCTTCCCTCTGGATTTTAATTTTCGTGATTATAATTGCTTTTATTCATAGCTCTCTAATACATTTTACTTTATTTCATTTTATTTATTATTATTATTTTTGGAGACAGGGTCTCACTCTGTCGCCTAGGCTGGAGTGCAAGTGGCGCGATCTTGACTCACTGTACCTCCGCCTCACAGGTTCAAGCGATTCTCGTGTCTCAGCCTCCTGAGCAGCTGGGACTACAGGCAGGCACCACCATGCCTGGCTAATTTTTGTATTTTTAGTAGAGACAGGGTTTCGCCATGTTGGCCGGGCTAATCTCGAACTCCTGACCTCAAGCGATCCACCCATCTCAGCCTCCCAAAGTGCTGGAATTACAGGCGTGAGCCACTGCGCCTGGCTGTAACTCTCAAATATATTTTAAAATGTCCTTTGATGTGTATTAAAAAAAAAAAAAAAAGTTGTAGCTGTGAGAATTTTGGCATGCCATGACCGACTATATCCTCCCTGAAGAAGTTCTCCTCCACTCTTTTGATTTCTAATTTTGTTGTATTATGGTCACATTATTCCGGAATTTACTAACGTTTCTTTTGTGGTCTAATACTTTAGTCTACTTCTCCTATATGTATTAGGAAATAAGGCATAATCTCTGTGTCAATTGTAAAATTATATACAAATTTATAGTTAAAACTTACCATTATTTATTAAGCGTTAGGACACCTGATTTTTCTTTCTGCTTGATCCATTAGTTTCTTCGAGGGTTTTGTTAAAATCTCCAGCTACATTTTTTGATTTATCTGCTGTCTTGTACTGTTTTTTATTGTTGCTTGATTTATTTTTAGATTGTATCATTAGGTGGCATATGTATTTATGATAAACATATCTTCTTCTATTATTCCACCAGTATACATTTTTCCTTTATTCCTTTTCTTCCCTTTAGCTTTAAATTCTATCTTGTCATGTATTAAAATTCCTACACTAGCTTGCTTTTGGTTCATATTTCCTGTTAGACTGTCATGCTTTTATTCTTTAACTTCTCTATATATCGTGTGTTTTGAGACAGCATATTGTTGCTTTATAACACATTTATAATTAAATATATATTCAAACATAAATAAAATATAAACATCAAGAGACTTTTGTTAGATTTAGCCCATTTATTCACTGTAATTATTGCTATATTAATTAAGTCTAACAGCTTCTATAGTACTGCATTTTTACATTTTTCTCTCTCTCATTATTACATTTCATCAGAATTTTCTTCTGATGGTTTAAAAGTTACAGATCCTGTTTTTTTTTGAGACGAAGTCTCTCTTGGTCACCCAGGCTAGAGTGCAGTGGTGCAATCTCAGCTCAATGCAACTTCCACCTCCCAGGTTCAAGTGATACTCCTGCGTCAGCCTCCCAAGTAGCTGGGACAACAGGCATGCACCACCATGCCTGGCTAAGTTTTGTATTTTTAGTAGAGATGGGGTTTCACCATGTTGGCCAGGCTGGTCTCGAATTCCTGACCTCAAGTGATCTGTCCACCTCAACCTTCCTAAGTGCTGGGATTACAGGCCACAAGGTGTAGAGTATGTATTTTTGTAGTATTGTTTTAACCTAAGCCCATAATCATGCTTATTTGCCTTTAAACTTTGTCACTGTTTTGAGTGGGTAAACCATTGGCAAGCTTTTATAATCCTTTTGTCTTTCTCTCCCCTATGTCTCTTCCCTGCTTCATGTTGTACATACTTTTTTTTTCTTTCTTAAACTTTTTATCCACTGGCCATGCATTTGGAAGAGGATGGGGGCAATGAATGCCTGAGAATATGATGTTTAGTAAACCATTGGGCTCATAGTTCTGGGGCTTGGAGAAAATCTGGGCTAGAGATCTGGAATACAGAAGCTAAAACCACTGCTCCAGAGAGAGAGAAAAAGAGCGGAAAAAGAACACTAGTATTCACTAGTATTTAAGTGATAGGAAGAGAAAAAGAAGGCTGCAATGAAAACTATAGATCACGGAAGCAAATAGCCATAAAAGAAACTATGTTAAAAACTTGCATGCTATCCACTGCCCAGGACTTTTACACCTATCACTGTTAAAACCAGATCTGATTCTGTTAACAATCTAGTTAATTCAAAATTCTCAAAGTCAGTAACCAGGCCTGTCAGGGCCAATCCAAAACAGTTACCTGGTTAGAATTTTTTTTGCAGTTAGAAAGCTTTTTGAGACCTAATTTAGTTAGAAAGGAAGAATGGTGGAGAAACGCCACATCCCTGAAACCCGTTCTACTGCCTGAAACTTTACAAAGAGAGTGGTTCACTTGACTTAACCTTTGATATGGCTAATAAGATTCACCCATAATTTATACTTTAGTATGGGTTTGTTTAGTCAGTGTATGGTCCCAATACTTGAAACTAAACCATGGAGGAGGCAAGAAATAAAACAAAATGTTGACCATGCAAGTCTTTAAGAAAGGGCAAAGTAGAATGGTTTTTTGAGGGTTATTTTATTTAAGGCAGAAACATGAACGCATCACGTTATACGTGCTACTTGATCGAAATATGCTATCCATTGAGTCACAGAAATGTTGATGAAGAAAGTAAGTTACAAAGAACACGAATTTGCCTGGATCCAGTCTTCAGACTTCATCTTTCGTTTTATGCTACCTCCCTGATGGCAGTGAACAGCACAAGGTAGTACAATTTTAAGGTGTCTCAGTTATGCATTTTGGCTTAATTTATTAAGTACGATTTAATTTTAGGCTATCATCTATGTACTTGTTAGCATAGATAGCTAAGGAACAAGCATTACTATTAGATTTCTAATCGTTTGTTTGCTATCCTGTCACTGACATTACAGCTACTAGTACAAATACAAATTAAGTCATATGGATCAAATCCAAAACTTTAAGCCTTGTGTTTATACTAATAACCAGTATTTATTATGTGCTATGTGCTAGAAACTCTAAGCAATTTAAATATATTAATATATACATCATATAAATATATAAATCCTCTTCGTAACTTTAAGAGGATAATGTTTTTCCCAACTTGTAGATGAAGAAACAGAGGACATATAGGTAGAAAAATTTCCTCTAAGTTATGCCAGAGGCAATACCAGGCTGATATAGAAATGAAATTCCTATAAAATTCCAAGTCTGAATTGTTTCTTTTTCTTAATTTGGTTGTTGTCACTCATGTTTGAAAATGCATCACTCTCAGAAACTTATTTAAGGTCTTTCTCAGATCACTGCAAATAAATTACATGTCAGCTCTTCTTCATAAAGGAAGAAATCTCTTTATATACAATATTATATTTTTTTTTAACACTAAAAGGCAAGCCAGGTTATGTTTTTAACAAGTACCAATTTAATAATGAATATTTAGAAATATGGTACACAGATACTAGAGTAATATAAAATGCATACAATTTTAAATTCTTTTCTTATAAACTCTCTACATGAATGGCTGACAGCTTCCAACAGATAAACTTTTGGACAAAGGTACAAGAGATTTTTGGGCATTCATTTTAAATACCATGTAGTTATCCAATTAGGAGGTTTCTAAAAAAATAAATATGACAAATATATGGATTTCTGAAGTATAAATTGACATACAAATCTATATATTTTCTTAATACTTTTCATTAAAGCATCTTTAAAGAAGCATTCTGTAACATGAAGTTGAGTTCAAATTAGATGTAATGAAAAGACATGAGGTTTTATTAGAACTGTGTAATTCACATACCAAAATTTTTACATAAAAGTAAACACAAAATTGAAAAGCAAAATACATTATTTTACTCTCCAAGTTACCAATTTCAGAAAACTACTCACTGCAAAAATTAATATTCCCAATTCTGAATGTTAGTAAAAAAACATATAGGTGCAATTCCAGAAACTTAATTCTACCTTCTAAGAAGCAGTGAAGGAGTAAGGTAATACTGCCCTTTGGGGATTGTCAAAGCTTTTCTAGAACTGCTGGAGAGCTGGTTCTCTTTTGAGACAGTGAGAATTAAAACTCTATCCATTCACCAGCATACAAACCTGTGGTAAGCTTTCTTTTCCAAACTTACATATGATCAGAACTCTGAACCATAGGTTACTGAATTGACCTTATATATGTGCCCACCTCCTCCATCTCTCCGAACAGGCAAAAAAAAAAAAAAAAAAAATCCATTACCTTTTCTCACCTGAATAGTTTGAATGAAATATCTATTTTGAAGTTACAGAGAAGAAATAATAATCTTACACAAGGGCTAGTTTGATGGAACTTAAGCTCTTAAATTTCATGTAATAAATGCTAATTATTAGAAGAACATGTTCTTTAGTGGAATTTAAACCATTAAAACTTAACTGGGTACATTACTAATTTTAAACATTAACATGGGAGAAATAAAAGGATTTCCCCAAACTAATTTAGAGCAGTGGTCTCCAACTCTGACTACAAATTAGAATCCCCTCAAAAAACAAGCATGGCTCCGTCTTCCAGAAATTTAGACTTAATTGTTATGAGATGAATTCTGTATGAAAAGTCCTCAGATGATTCTAATATGAAGTGAGGGTTGAAAACCACTGATTTAAAACAATTATTAAATTATGAATTACTTATGGTGGTCTTGATTTAAGTAAATAATTTAAAATTCAAATACATGAGCACTTTTTATGTAATAGGCACAGTTCTAAGTGTTAATAAGGTAATTTTTTAATATAAATCACTGGATAACATTAATACATTTTATCATTTGAATAATTATATAAATTTATTAAAATATTACTCAAACTTCTATTATAGTCTGCTGTCACAAAAGATTTCCTTTTACTTTTCTGAACCACCCTCCACTTGATACTATGGCAAAAGAAATCACACTCAGAAACTTTTCCTTAAGATATATGGAGAGAGCATAAGAATTTTAAGATTTCATTTTCAAGTCATAGTACATGAGGTATTCTCCACATCTTTTATCTAGAGTCACATCCATAACCTAAGAACTGAAATTAGGCATTGTTTGGATGCTTAACAGAATCTCCTAGATCAAGACCAACTCCCACTGGTATCAGTGCTTGCTTTAAACTACCTGGGGGAAAAAAAAAAAAAAAAAGGGATCTATGGTAGATCCTTAGGGAACCTAGTAAAAGTGGGTCTTTTAATGCAGACCTTGCATCTTATGGCCTATTTATAAAACAATTCTTAAAAAAATTACAGGAATATGGTTTTTGAAACATATATAATTAGAAATTAGTTATCTCAAAGGAATTAAAAATTATATAGTTTTTGAAATACTACTTAATTATAAATTACTATCCCAGGATGACAGCCAGAGCTTTCATATTTTAAATTAGAATCAACTTTTTAAGGTATTATAAAGCTCATTTAATATGTATTTTAATTCAAGAAAAAAAAAAACAGGTTTAAATTAGTAAGTTTAATTTGTAACTACTTTTTAACCTATTTTTCAGGTTTAAATTTGCCCAAACCAACTGAAAAGTTTATTAATACTATAGTAGGCTAATTATCTTTTATAGCTAGACAACAGGCCAAAAATGATACAACTCTGGTTAAACCATAATATATGCATATATAGGAAAATGCAATAGCAATTTGTTTCCCATACTTGATGATTAAAATAGCTTCAAATATTTTATGAAAGCTCAGTAGTCAAAATAAACATGTAATAAAAAGATATACCATAACAAAATATCAAGAAGTTAGTGTCTGAAAATAAACTGTCACATTGTTTTGCTTTCAGTCAAACAGAACTGAATTCAGTGGCTTAAGGTATGTAAGAATAATTAAATTGTGACTTTGGAAACAGAAAAATTAAAATTCAAGTTAAGACTAGAAAGCTAACACAAAGATGAAAGAGAAGTTTACTATGTTATACCTCCAAAGTTTAGAGTTATTGGGACTTCTCAATGACTACGACCTAAAGAAACATGAATAGTTTGGGGAGTAAAAGTAAAAAAAAATCATGATTATGCGAGTCATGTTGTGACACTCTCAATAAGTAAAATCAAACAACAAAAAATACAGTATATATGAGCACCATTAAAAATGTGTGTACGTAGCTATATATGTCAAACTTTACCTGATTAAAAACTGCATTTAAAGTTAAAAACAAGTATACAGTTATGAAAATACATTCTCAAGCTAACATGTCATGACTTATTTTAAAATGTTTCATCCAGCATTCCTTCTAAAATTCAACTAAGGAATTCAACATAAAAAAAAGCCAGTATTCTTTTGTAGTGCAAACCCCTTGATTAAACAGAATTACTTAAAAAAAAGTGTTCAATAAGTGTTTTCAATTCATATATTCTAAGAGGTGCAAGAAAAATGAAGTAGGTGAATAAATGGGAATTAACAGAATAAACCAGCATATGTTGGATTTGTCCTCAAGGGATTATCATTCAGGCCTCAAATTTATTTTTAATTGAGAGCAGTAAAGATTACACTGCCAGAAACACCTTCTTTCTATAATAAAAGTTGTAAATTTGTCACTTTCACTGTAATATTTCTGCTATATTCACCCAAACTCTGAAAACAGCGATATATAATATACATCCTGGGATAATACAGGTCTTTAACGAAAATCTTATTTTGATCCTACTTCAAGGCAGCTCATGATTGGCTATTAGGAACCCTTGAACTTTTTTTCAAAGCTCCCAGTAAAAGCAATCACATGATATGGACTGATGTTCTTTGATACCATTGTCACGATAAACATTAATGCTATTCACCATTTAAAATACGCTCAATCTCTTCCAGTCTTTTTAAAGCAGCAACTCTTTTCTTCTCAATTTCTTTGATATCTTTTGTTGTTTTGTGGGGGGTCTCTTCGTCTCTATCTTTTCCTAATTGTTTGTTGGATTTAGACTGACTTTTATTATCACTTGTTTTTACTATTTGTGTTTCTCTCGATTCACCTCTACTCTTCTTTACACTTTCAGTTGGAATTTTCTCTCCTTCTACACTTGAAATCTTACTGGTTGGGAATATTGGCTCTATAAAACTAGATGAGGAAATCTTATCCCTGACTATATTCAAATGGCGCTGAATATATTCTTCATGTGGTGCTAATGCCAATGTTTCAAGAAGGCATCTTTCAGCTTTTAATAAGTCTTTTTCTTCAAAATAAACAACACAAAGATTGTGTTTTCCTTGCACATTGCTTGGATCCATCTCCAAAATCCTTTCAAAACATTTTTTTGCTCCTAGTATATCCTTCTTTTGATTCATCAGAATGTCTCCTTTTAAAATGAGGCCCTTGATATGATCAGGGTAGTATCTGAGTAACTCTTCCAAAATTGGCAAAGCCTTTAATTCCTTTGAAGTCTGGGAATACAGGAGAGCCAGATTAAACAAAGCACTTCGGAAGTCAGCTTGTAACTTTATGGCTTTCTTCATCCAAATTTCGGCTTCATTGTCCTTTTTGTCATCCATGGCAAGCATTCCCAAATTGAAATAGCCATTAGCATCTAGTGGCTCTTCATTTATATAGCTTAGAAGTCGTTTTCTAGCTTCAGGTCTGAGTTTAACCTCACCTAGAAAGTTTTTTTAAAGAAAAAATATATTGTTAGTAAAATAATTAAATGTGAGGAACAAAGCCATTTTCAAATACTTAGATTACAAAAAGACAGCTTCAAAACAACTAATTTCCATAGTTAAAATAAGTAGAAAGCAAAAATCTAGAAGTCTTCATAGGAAAAGCAAAATATTTGAAACAGTAAAAAGATAGCTTACTTCTTTTCCTTTAAAGCAGTAAGAGTGCTTCAAAAACCAAAAGGATAGAAATGTCTCTTATAATTTAGAATTCAAATGGAAATAGCAGAGGGAAAATAGAGAATTCAGAGAAGACAGCATGGGATTTGCCAACAAAGACATGTATTCAATCTTGATTCTGATAACATTATGACTTTATACACTGAACATGTTATTTAGCTTCTTTGGGTTAACTGAGTTTTCTAATAACTATATGATGTATACTGAAAAAATGTTCAGCAAATAGTAATTATTACTGGGTAGAAAAAAGCTTCAGAATTATATCACATTTTTAAAAATGTTACTTTAAAGTTTTAGGAATGTTTTGAGGACAAAAACATACCATTAAATATAGGGCTATAAAATTAGGATTTAGGAAACATGTATCTTCTTTTTTTTTTTGAGACAAGGTCTCACTATGTCACTCAGGCTGGAGGGCAGTGCTGTGTCCATAGGTCACTGTAACCTCAAGTTCCTGGGCTCAAGCAATCCTCCCACCTTGGCTTCCTGAGTAGCTGGGACTATAGGCATGTGCCATCAATCCCTGCTGATTTTAAAATTTTTTGTGGAGACAGAGTTTTACTATGTTGCCCAGGCTATTCTCAAACTCTTGGCCTCTTGTGATCCTCCCACTTGGCCTCCCAAAATGGCATCAGCCACTGCCTGGCAGGAAACAAATCTCCATTGAAATAATTTCTACTGAAAAAAAAAAAAAAAAAAAATCTTCAAGTTCTACAATTACAAACCTTATAGTACAATCTTGTGTCAAATAATGAGCATCTTTCATGATTATCAAGGTAGAAAACCTTACAAAAATATTAGCTTTTCTCCAAATTTATGCTTTTTTGTACACCAGGCATAAAGATTTCTCTCTTTTATTTGGCAGCACGATGGATAAAGAACATTTGAAAATAAATCAGGAGACTTCAGTTCTTATCTTGGATTAGCTACTTAGTCGTATGACTTCGGGACAGTCGTAAAATCTATTTGGTCTTCACTCTATTAAATAGAAGACTGGCAAATGCGAACTCAGAGGTTCTCTTTAGTGCTAAAATACTATGACTTTATGATTCTTTCATATTTTACAAAAGTTTTGAGAAATGTATCTAAGAAATAACTAAACATTATAATAAAGAGATTTTTTCTAATTTAAAAATTAAAAAGATTATAAATCATATACACTGTCTTAGGAGGCAGAACTGAAATTCCTATATAAAATATGGATGAAGGATCCAGATTTACTGTGGTTAGTAATTCAGTTTTGCTAAATTATAGGAAATATAAAAAATTACAATATCTCAGAAAACGTAGTAAAATTGGATATAAAATGGTGCCAAAAGTATTTGCTCTTATGAATCAAAAGAAAATAAAATGCTATTTTTGAAAATATATGCTCTCAGCTCCTCACAGCTAATTATGTAAAAAATTTCACAAGTTCATATTATTTAGAGTTTATATAAAAATAAGTTACATTATATTTGTGTATATAAAATACAAAATAGTTAATGTTGCTTAATAGACTGCCTTAAAAATTAGTCTTAACACATGCCAGAAGAATTAAAAATCAGTATTATCATATGTTAGAATGCATATTACTTGAAAATAGTTTACTTCAAGTATTTTAAATATTCTTCCTATAAATCATTTAAGCACAGTATTGCTATAAACTGTCAACACATAAAGTGTTTGCTATGGGTAATAAAGTTAAATTAAGGTTTTTATTATATCATAAACTACAATTTGTTTAAACATAGAAATATTTTGAGAAAACATACCTGATTCTTGCATTAGTATAGCAGAGTTGAATAATGCTAGTTTATGCTTTGGATTTAGTTCCAGAGCACGATTAAAGTTTTTTAGGGCTTCATTTGGTTCTTTAAGTTCAATATATACAATTGCCAAGTTGTACCAAAGATCTGCATTATTTCTGTCCAGCTCTAGTGCTTTAAGATATGCTTCCTTTGCTTTAAGAGGTTTATTCATTTTTAAAAGCAATTCTCCTCTGTAGAAAAATCAAACACAAGCTTTACTTACAACATTACCATCTCAGTTTGTAGATACAATTTTTGCCAAGTTTTAAGCCTTTCCACATACAGCTTTTTTTTTCTTTTAACTCAGAGTCTTAAAAAACTCTTTCAAAAACACCTCTTTGAAACTGTCCTCAAATCTGAACTCCTTAGTTCAGTATATTTGGCTTGATATATTTTCAAATATTATTTAAGAAGAAAAAAATTATGCCTGATTTCAGAGGGCAACCTATCAGGAGGAATCCAAGAAGGAAGACAGAGAAAATACATTCTTTGAATTTATCTTAAAAGGAGACAGAATAAACTGCATCAGAAAAAGGACAGCTAGCCAGAGTGAGAGATTAATGAATTTGTCAGGTGACAAAGTAATAGCATTAGAAGAAAAAAATGACATATAGTAGTGGTAAGAGAAATTCCAACATTTGAATCTATAATAGAAGGCTCATTGTGCAAAAAACCAAAATATTCAAAATCTGTAACCCCTTCTTATATTAATTTAGTCCTCCTCAATGTCTTCTTATAATATGACCATTCTTTAAAAAAAAAAACACAAAAACCTGGATATGGTGGCTCGTGCCTGTAATCCCAACACTTTGGGAGGCTGAGGTGGGTGGATCACTTGAGATCAGGAGTTCGAGACCAGCTGCCCAACATGGCAAAATTCTGTCTCTACTAAATACAGAAATTTGCCAGGCATGGTGGCACGCACCTGTAGTCCTAGCTACTAGGGAGGCTGAGGCACAAGAATTACTTGAACCCAGGAGGCAGAGGTAGCAGTGAGCCAAGATCATACCACTGCACTCCAGCCCGGGTGACAAAGCGAGACTCTGTAACAAACAAACAAACAAACAAACAGAAAAAGGACTAAAAAAATCTGATCAGGAAGAGTGGGAGGGATGAGTCTGACCTATAGATAACTTTGAGAAACACACTTAGAATTGAGGACCAGTTAAGAAACCACTGTATAAATCTTTCTAGTGTGGTTCTATTTTCTGTTAGAAAATTTTAAAAAGTAATTTTGCTTACATAATTATTTTTACATATGTACAAATTATATTTAAGTGGTGATATGAGAGTTGTTCTTATAATACTACTCTTTCCTATAGTATCAGCACAGGAATAAAAGGAACAACAATTAATATTCTCATTAAAACCACTTCTAGAATGAATGTTTGTCCAAATCATTATTTTTTTAATGTAGAGACTGTTGAATAGTTCTTTATGGATTAATACATGACAAGTGTTATTTAGAGATACAGCCCTGCTAAACTCAATGGGCTTCAATAAGTACTGGGCACGGCGGAACAAAGACAACCCCAACTTACAAACAGATTTTATCTCAAAAACTTAAATTCAGAATGTACTTTCCCCACAGAAAAAATGCTACGAATTACTATTAGTTTTCTGGACCAGGCTACAAAACAAAGTTTAAAAACAATTTTTCCTCAAAAGTAATACAAATGATAACACATACATAAGAAAATAAATAAAGTTTTAACATGTAATACCAGAAAACTTTTTTTTTTGCTGAGAACCAAGATGTTTTCTTTGTGTCAAAGGCATCAATAACCAATCAACTCTAAAACCCAAGAAAGTTCCTGAGAGTTTGATATTAGAAGTAACTACTATAAAATGTAAGTTTCAAGTTTTAATTTAAATAGGAAAAGAAAAATTTTGGTGATGGGAAGAAAATGAAATGAAGATAGAGCTGCTTCTACCCTTTCCTTAATACAAAACCTAAGTTGGCTATTACAAGTTAGGGATTCCCCTTGTTAATTTCAAATCAATACAATCTGTCAGTCAGTCTAAAAAGTTACGCCCTTCTATGCACTTGGTTGCTAAGATTATTAAAAACATATTTTTTTCCCCCAAAAAAGCCAATTCATTCAAAATATACATGGAGATGCAGTTTCAATATTCCATAATGATAGCTTTAAGTTGAACTGGGATACCTGCTAATGTAAGCCTGCTTGAAGTCGGGCCTCATGCTTATTGCTTGACGGTACAGCTGATCTGCTTCTTCCAGTCGGGACTCGTTTGCTCGGATCAGGTTAGCCAGATTGATATAAACATTTAGGTGGTTAGGGGCAATTCTGGCTGCATATTTTTTACCAGGAATAATCTGTTTAGAAGAAAATGCATTTTCATGATTTGATATTTCAGTATTAAAAATCAAAAGTACATATTCCTATTGGCTAATTCAAAATAACACAGAACATAGTGTAAAAAATACACTGGCCTGAGAGATCAGGGTTCTATTCCTGTTTTGATCAAACTTCAGAGAGCTTGACTTCTAAAAGTTCTGATTTGTTTGACTTCAGAAAAAGATAGATACAAATAAAAAGCTAAGAATAATCCACTGAGGTGGCATGAACGAAAAAATATATCCTTAATGACACAAAGTATTATTTAATTACATTTTTGAGGATACTATAAGTAAAATATATTTATTTACATTTTTGTGTATTTTCTTTTACATTTTTATTATTTATTTTTAATAAAGTGGTAACATTAGCAGCACAGTCTTATTTCCTCAGAAAAAATAGCTTAAGCTGGGCTGAAGTTTTCTCAATTGTGGTAATATTTATAGTCATATTAATAGTGACAGGGTTTAAAGTTGAACTGTATGGCATTTCAAGGATTATTTTAATCCTTAACTATAACAGTTAAATAAATTGTATTTGTTATTGGTTTTTATCATATCTAATTTATTGTGTTCACTGGAAGTCTGGATCCATATATACTATATATTATAAGAACCTTAACTTAATAATCAGTTAGAGTGTTTAATTTCCAAACTTCACCAGATAAGTGAGTCCTCAGTATTCTGGAATAAATTACTCTATTGTCACAACCGAAAAATATTTTGCTGATAACATGAAAATTGACATAGGGTCAGATCTTCCAATTTTGATACTATGTTATATTTAATGAATCTTATATCATTATAACAACTGATAGACACAATATAGCAAGAGATGTATCTACTAATTTTATCACTTTTATTTATTTTTTGATAGGAATAATGTTGAATAGTATGCTTAATATACATAAAATATTTATTTAAAGTCATATAACTCGCTGATAACTGATAAGAATATCTAAAATTCATACTTTATGAATTTAGTGTTTACAAATGGACTGTGTAAAAACAATTTTTAAAATTAAGTGAGCTACGGCTGGGCATGGTGGCTCATGTCTGTAATCCCAGCACTTTGGGAGGCCGAGGTGGGTGGATCACGAGGTCAGGAGTTTGAGACCAGCCTGTCCAATATGGTGAAACCCCATCTCTACTAAAAATACAAAAATTAGCTGGGTGTGGTGGCATGCACCTATAGTCCCAGCTACTTGGGAGGCTGAGGCAGAAGAATGGCTTAAACCCGGGAGGTGGAGGTTGCAGTGAGCTGAGATCGCGCCACTGCACTCCAGCCTGGGCGATACAGCAAGACTCCATCTCCAAAAAAAAAAAAAAAAATTAAGTGAGCTAGAAGAATGTAATTCTTTATAAAACTTATAGGAATAGATGATTCATTAGACACTTTACTTTTATATCAACTGAAGAAAAGATAGAGATTTTCCTTCTAGATAATTCTATTCAATATGGACATCTAATAGATATGACACAACAGATAAATTATGGCAACTTACTTGAGGCATCAGTGATTTAGCCATCATGTAAGATTCTTCAGCTTCTTTGGTTCTATTTAAATTTTTATAAGTTCTTCCTACATTCATATGGGCACCAATATCATCTAAAATTTTAAAACAATCATGTGTTGGCAAGTATACAACTAATATACTCAATATACTCAATGAAATGATTCAATGTATTCGATATATAAACAAGTATTCAATGTAACTAATGAGAAGACGTATTTTCAGAAACACACTACACAAATGCAAAAGCAGGCAACAGGTCCTGCTTCTTCCTTAAAGTTCTTGTAATTTAACTTGTTATGACTTAAAACCAATGCTAAACACAAATTTACTTAAAGCATGTAAAGACAGAAAATACATACATGGCATGAAAAAAGTATTTCAATGGATTTTTGAAGAGTTGAGACATAAGAGAGATAAAGGTAATGAAAAAAATTGTATGACCTTCCTTCATTGTATTTTACTATACTAAAGCTTGCTTCCATTTACTTAATCTCATAGCTAAGAAATTCACTCAAAAGGTATAGCTCAAGTCTACAAGTGAAATGAATCATCAGGATTTTTAGAATTATTTCTAGTGTTACAACAAATATGCATCATGGTGGAACAGGGGCAAAGAGACTGAAAAAAACTTGGGCATTAGATTTTAAAAAATTTTTGTGACTGTGGCTAGAATGAGAGTATAATGGAAAATAATGATAATAATATTACTTAAGATGCAGTGGCCCACCTCTTTTAAATGATAATAAACTCCTTAAAATTAATTTTAGATTTTTAAAAAAGGCTGTGTTAATTTTAGAATGTCAGGAATTTATGTCTTATTTTCTGATGTGGAAAATAAAAATCCCAGCAAATTTATTCAGGGATAGGAAAAAAAATGCAGTTGAAATAGGAAAGATATGAGGATTCATTGTACAGTAGCTTTCTAAAAAGATATACTTGCCAGCAAATATTTCAAAGGTCTGGAATAATGATAGAAGGAAGGTAGAAGATCTTAAATCAGACAGCTTTTATTCAACATGAACTAACAGACATGAAAAGGTTCATTATGATTACTACTTGCCTTGTGACACCAATTATTTTGCAATTGTGCAATAATTCTCTGCCTGCAACTCCTAGGACACATAGGGGCCAAGCATATATATCTTGGGCATTTCCCGAGTAACAGTCCTAAGAACTTGCTATATATTGTTTTAGGCTGGCAATTGTGTGCACTGCACAAAAACTGGCAGATGCAGTCCAGGTTTGATTATAGTTAAGTTTAGGAGTAAAGAAGTTGATTTTTTTCTTTTTAGATGTCTTGCTGAGTCTCATGGAGCCAGGAGGGGTCAAGCAAAAAAAGTTTAAGCTAGCCATTCTTAATTCTGGCTGCAAATCAGAATACCTGTGTAGTTTTTAAAAATTCAGATACTTTAGCCCCACCTAGGTCCATCAAAACATAATGTTCAGAAACGAAATCTGCAAAAATATGTTTATAAAAAGTGTCAAAGGCAATTCTGATGTAGAATCAGGGCTGAAAATCATTGTTTTACTAGCTGCATATAAAAAATACACAGTATAGTGACTAGATCAGGGTATTTGCTTGCATTATATGTATTAAAACATCATTATATATCCCATGAATATGTACTATCATTGTCAATTAAAAAATACAGAGTAGTCTTTGCTTTTATATCACTATTTTTTTAAACCAGATAAATTCATACCATGTTTATAGAGCTCAGAATGTTATTTAGGAAAAGCTAAGGGACATAGAACCTGAAAAAAGTAATTATACCCTAAGAATTTAAGAATAAACTGAAAATTTGTTAAAAGTGTAATTATGCCAGCTGAGTATTTAAAATGTTATTGAGATTATCCCCAACCAATGTTAGAAAAGAAAGAGGTTATATACTTAGATTAAAAATGCGGTGAATTACTATCCACTGAAATCATGTTCTTAGAATTATGGCCAGGAGATGTTGTCATTAATGTAGACTTCAGACACTAAAGTATAGCAGCCCGATGTTTTCAAAGAGCAGAAATGCAATTAGATATCGTTTAGCATCAAAAAGGCCACTCAATACAGCTAATAAAATGAAAGACGTAATTTCTAAGCAATTCTTTATAATTTACAAAGTTTTAAAATTCTAGAGGGGAAAATAGTATCACTTTTAAGATAAATTTAAGTATTAAAAAAAGGTAAGAAAATAAGGCAAGATGTAAAAAATCAATGACATTTAAATGACTAAAGAGCTAAAGGAACTTCAAAGAATAAACCCACTCTTATGAGTACCTATCCAAAAGAGCAGCATGAGTTAACAATCTAGCTTTTAATTCAATTGTAAATGAGGACCCCACAAATCTCAAATGTAGCCTATGTTTGTCAATAAGAGGTTTCTAAAATCAGTTAATTTTCCAGAATCCTAGTTGAGTATATTTCATTTCTTATCTCTCCTCACATCTCTAATATCATATTTTCACTAGGAAAACAAAAGATTAGAAGGGAACTTATCTCACTGCTAAAGGTTATCAACTTATCTGCATGAATGTTTGCATGTGTTTTTAATAGTAACAAACACCTGTGTACACAGGTTTACATTCACCATTCCTTTGAAATGACAGTAGTTATTAGACAGTGGTTCACGTGTCATCTCAGTCATCCTGCCTAGGGATGCAAATGTGATGTAGCTGGGAAATTTTCAGGCAACTGTGTATGACTAACACACAGTTGCCCAACAGTGAAATATTAGCTGCCCAACAGTGAAGTATTCTCACATTGATGGCTTAGGCAACTATGTAGATTTTCAGTATTCCTTGGATGTCCACAAAATTATAAATTTATTTAAAAAGGTAAATTTATAAATATCTGGAATCTCCTAGGAACTCTCTATCCTTCATAAATATAGACGTAAAAATTACTAATAGCATTTTAACAAATATAATAAAGATAATAAGTCACGATCAAATTGTGTATTACTGAAGGTAAGGTTGTTTTAACATTATGAACTGAATCGATGATATCCACTATATTAACAGACCAAAAAATAAAAATAAAAAGCTTATCATCTCAAATGGTGCACAAAAGCATTTGACAGAATCCAACATTTATGTGTTAAAAATTCTCAGCAAATGAAGAATTAAGAAAGGCAGGAGAGCTTTCCTATACTGCTGGTGGGAAATACATTCTTTGGAAAATAATTTAGCAGCCTTTAAAAAGTTAAACATACACAAATCATATGACCGTGCCATTCTTCTCTCAGGTTTTTACCTAAGAGAAATAAAACATATATCCATAAAGACTGGTATATGACTGTTCGTAACAGCCATATTTGTAACAGCTCCAAACTGCGAACAATCCAAACATTCATTGACAGGTAAATGGATAAACAAATTGTGGTATATCCACGTGAAGGAATACTACTCAGCCATACCAAGGTATCGGTTTTTGATTCATACAACAACATGAATGAGTATCAAAATAACCGTGCAGAGTAAAAAAGCCAGGAAAAAAAAAAAGAGAGTCCATAGAGTACAATTCCATTCATATACAATTTTAGAAAAAGCACATTATCTGTACTGATAGAAAGCTTTTCCTTAGAGAAGGCTGGGGTGAAAAGGGGTAAGAGAGAGGTATTAGAAAAAGATCCAAGGAATTTGAGGGGTTTGATGGGTATTTCCAGTATCTTAATTGTAGTTATGGTCTCACGGGTAATACACATATGCCAGAACTTATAAAATTATATATTTTAAACATGTATAGACTATTGTATGTCAAATGTACTTCAAGACTGCTATTAAAAAAATTACAACTCAATCATTTCTTTGGGTTACTGCAAAAGCCTTCTAAATGATCTTCCTGCTTTACTGTTTTCTGCATAGCCAGTGATACTCAAAATTACACCAGAGTATATGTGCAAAGGTTGCTCTCTCATTTTATTATCATCTCAAAGAAACTTTCTCTGAAAATTTCTAATCTCTATGCCCTTTTTATAGCTTTTATCACTTTCATATAAATACACATGTGCATGCATATGTGTAATATATATTTCATGTGTACATATGTATATATATTTACACGTGGTATTTGTTTACTTATGTTTATGCCTTTATTTAGAATGGAAACTCCGTGACGGTAGGAAATTTGTTTTATTTCTTCTGGATTCCCCAGCACTTAAAACAGTGTCTGACACATGGTAAATTCTCAAATACAGGTCTGACGAACAAATACACCTACAGAGCCATTTGCTATTCATTCACTTTCAGTCTTCTTCCCTGCATTATACGTCTCTTTTTTGCTACCTCCTGTAGAAGTATGGTCAGGGTGGTGGGAAAAGTTGTAAGAAAAAGTTATAGGGAAAGATGCAAACCTTCTTGGAAGGCCACGGATTTTGCAAAAGCTTAGGAAGCGAATTGTGGCTGAAGGCAGCCAGATTCTCTTATCTGGAGCCTGAGAGCAAAGGGTAGATAACAAGGGAATGTAAATGAATTTATCTAGATAAATTTGTTTACTCCTGTCTCCAGAAATCAACCTTTGATTATTCATGCACAGGACTGCTCTCTACTCGGGGGGTCGACAACGTTTATTACCCACATACTGTGTTTGCTCCAAGCCTTTATCATTAAATCTGTACTAAACAAATGCGAGTGGGGCTGGCTTAGGGTGGGCTGCACTCTGTTGGTGGCTGTTGCACTCTCTTGGTGGTGGTGTTGAGCCATGCGGTCGCCTAGTCGCACTGTCAGGCAAAATACCTGTGTCAGCATACTTCTTTCATCCGTCACTCGGCCAGAGTCTGTGGGACAGACTCAGCAGGTGGTGCCCCGTATGAGGAATGCTGCAATGGATTGCGATGGAACCCTCAAAAACGAAGGTGAAGAGACTGCACAGTAAGTCATTGGTGCCCGCTCGGGATTTGCAAGTTTGAGGGAACTGTTCAGGCTAGGGCTTCATCATGGGACAGTGGTTATCGGCTCAACAGAAACAGCATATAAAAGTACTGAAACAGCTGCTTAAAGCTAGTGGAGCCTCAGTTTTGCAGGCTCAATTAAGGGACCCAATGCAAACTGCTGTTTCCCATAACCCATGGTTCCTAGAAGAAGGTACACGAGACATAGG